CTTATCATTTACGTTTTTTTCTACAGTTTTTCGAGCCTGTACTGTAAAGTGTAAATATATTAATCATAATTTAATGTATTATTTCTAAACTTCCATCCATATCAACAATGTTTTCACTTAAAAGCTTGTGTTTTTTATACTAATATAATTGTTAATGTTTGCTAATAGCTGTTAAAATATTGTTGTGGCACTGTGGAGTATAATAAAACATTATGTTACTGTGAAGTACAGTAAAACATTATGTTACTGTGAAGTACAGTAAAACATTATATTACTGTGAAGTACAGTAAAACATGGCACTGTGGAGTATAATAAAACATTATGTTAATGTGGAGTATAGTAAAACAAGGCACTGTAAAGTATAATAAAACATTATGTTAATGTGAAGTATAATAAAACATTATGTTAATGTGAAGTGTAATAAAACATTATGTTAATGTAAAGTATAATAAAACATTATGTTAATGTGAAGTATAGTAAAACATTATGTTACTGTGAAGTACAGTAAAACATGGCACTGTGGAGTATAATAAAACATTATGTTAATGTGAAGTACAGTAAAACATTATGTTACTGTGAAGTACAGTAAAACATGGCACTGTGGAGTATAATAAAACATTATGTTACTGTGAAGTATAGTAAAACAAGGCACTGTAAAGTATAATAAAACATTATGTTAATGTGAAGTATAATAAAACATTATGTTAATGTGAAGTATAATAAAACATTATGTTACTGTGAAGTACAGTAAAACATGGCACTGTGGAGTATAATAAAACATTATGTTAATGTGAAGTACAGTAAAACATGGCACTGTGGAGTATAATAAAACATGTTAATGTGAAGTACAGTAAAACATGGCACTGTGGAGTATAATAAAACATTATGTTACTGTGAAGTATAGTAAAACAAGGCACTGTAAAGTATAATAAAACATTATGTTAATGTGAAGTATAATAAAACATTATGGTTTTGGTCATCTTTATTTAATTACTATAATAATTCTGTCATGAATATTCATGAAGGATTTTCATCTCTCGCAAAATATTTTTGTTGATGCAGGATATGTGGAAATTGTAGCAGACAGTGACAGCATTTTTTCAATCAGGAAGAATCATTCATCAGAGTAAGTGACTTGTGTTTTTATAGAATAATCTGTGAGTTCTGTTTCATTCATCAGGGTAAGTGACTCGTTGTTTTTATAGAATAATCTGGGAGTTCTGTTTCATTCATCAGAGTAAGTGACTCTTGTTTTTATAGAATAATCTGGGAGTTCTGTTTCATTCATCAGAGTAAGTGACTCTTGTTTTTATAGAATAATCTGGGAGTTCTATTTCATTCATCAGAGTAAATGACTTGTTTTTATACAATAATCTGAGAGTTCTGTTTCATTCATCAGAGTAAGTGACTCGTGTTTTTATATGTAGTGACACATGGTATTTCACACTGAACAATTACAGTTAAGTATGTAGTGACAAATGGTATTTCACACTGAACTATTACAGTTAAATATGTAGTGACACATGGTTACCTTACTGTTTGTTATGTCTTCCTACCTTCTTTTAAAATTTTTCTATAAAGTTTTTTATTGTATGAAATTGTAAATTTTATTTTTGCTTTCATTCTAAAACCTCTGCGTACAGTTTCACTGGGTTGATGATCACTAGTGTATAATAAACATTACAACTTCTTTTAAGAAGGTTATTTAATATACATAGTATAAGTTTAAAATCCATTTTACTTTAATTCATAAATACACTTTTTTGTGTGATTTTTCCTTGTCCATTCAAATAGTTACTTATGCTAATTAGGCCTAATGTAAACAGCCTAACACCGTGGCTTTGTTGGCAAAACTAAACTTCATATGGAAAAAAACTTACTCACCATACTTATAAAATAAAGACAGTTTTGCTTAGTTTATCAAAAGCAAATTCAATAACTTACTTGTTCCGTACGTATCAAAATTTGCAACTCGTGTGACGGCATGTTCAAAGCTGTCAATTATCACCACATTCATGCCACGTCCTGCAACACTAACTTCGTTTCCAAACACACTTTGTAACATAAAATATAAAATACTTTTAGGGCAACAGTGAATGTTAATTTTCAAATGCAAAAAAAAAGCAATCTTTGTGTATTTTATAAACAATAATACAAAATCATTTAAAGTTTTATATAGTACCCATATTTATTTCTTCCTACATACTTGTAGCTATAAGTACCCATATTTATTTCTTCCTACATACTTGTAGCTATAATTACCCATATTTATTTCTTCCTACATACTTGTAGCTATAAGTATCCATATTTATTTCTTCCTACATACTTGTAGCTATAAGTGTCCATATTTATTTCTTCCTACATACCTATAGCTATAAGTACCCATAATTATTTCTTCCTACATACTTGTAGCTATAAGAACCCATATTTATTTCTTCCTACATACCTGTAGCTATAAGTGTCCATATTTATTTCTTCCTACATACCTGTAGCTATAAGTACCCATAATTATTTCTCCCTATCTACAATACTTACTATTTCCCATCTATACACAAGGATGGCTTTTCCCGATCCTCTCTTCCCGTGGATAAGTGAACTGAAAACTCTCCATCTGGACAAGGTTTTGAAAAGCCACAGTTGGGAACAAATCCAACTACAGATACAGGTGCTGGAACTATGATGGTCCTGAAAAGTTTTGTTTCATATATATTACCTATTACTATCTCACACTTTACAGACTGTAACTAAAGAACAATGAACCTAAATAAAACAGAAAATCATTCTGACAAGATAATGAACATACAGATATACATATTAGTGTTAACAAAAAGTATTCATGAACCTCAGAAGATATTTTCTGAAGCATGAAAATTAATCATAAATGTTTCCTATCACTTTGTCAATCAATCAGTTAAACTATTTGCAACATGTATTAAATCTTACGTGTTCTTTAAGCTAACACTTCATAAGGTAAACTAAATAACTTTAAAATACACTTGTTTCCCTCTATCGTATTTGACATAAAGGTTTTTTTATCATAGACAACAGATTTAATTTAAATAGACTTCTGAACACTGGTTATTTGAGAAGTACAATCGACATGAGACTAAAGGTTAAAATCTTGCTAAACTACCATTTTGATATACAAAAATATATGCTAACTTTGGACATGTATACCTGTGTGTTACAAAACTTTATCAACCATTGTGCGAAGAACTAATGGTTAATAAGACCCAGCACAAACTATTATGATAATACAACTCTAAGTGGATTTGTATTCTGTCACATTTTACCATTTATTAATCTATTAAGAAAAAATACAAATTCCAGTCACTATCATTTAGGAAAAGAAAGGGAAATGTGTGAAAAGAGAACTCACAAATTATTGTATAAAAACACGAGTCATTTACTCTGATGAATGAAACAGAACTCCCAGATTATTGTATAAAAACATGAGTCACTTACTCTGATGAATGAAACAGAACTCCCAGATTATTGTATAAAAACATGAGTCACTTACTCTGATGAATGAAACAGAACTCCCAGATTATTGTACTTAACTGTAATAGTTCAGTGTGAAATACCACGTGTCACTACATTATTTGGATAAAACGGTTTCAGTTATTGAAAATATACTACTGTGTACTGTAGCAACATTAAGTACTTCTTACTCCAGACGTCTTGTTTTTAATGATCTATGAGAAGAGAAGGTATCATCAATTCCTGATGATGCTTAACTTGTATAGAGATCAAAACTGTGATTCTTTCCCAGGTTCCAAACATCTTGAGACGTTTTTACTGACACTAAAGCCTGGTGACATCATTATCATCTTCACTCATGATGAATCTAGTAAGAAGTAAGTGACGTACAGATATTGTCTTTGTTTTTAAACCAAGTGAGCTATTATGTTTACAACTGAAAAAATCATAACATATAAATCAAATAGTCAGCTGTAGTTACACTGTTTATAACATGTAAATCAAGTAGTCAGCTGTAACTACAGCTGTTTATAACATGTAAATCAAGTAGTCAGCTGTAGTTACACTGTTTATAACATGTAAATAAAGTAGTCAGCTGTAGTTACACTGTTTATAACATGTAAA